AGTGCGTCTGCCCGTGTCCCTATGGGGTGTGTATGTGTCATGATACGTGACTCTGTTGTGTTTGGATGCACATGGGACTACTCTGCCCTGATCTCACCGTCTCGAGGGCTGTTTGAACATCTAACGCGTATGACGCGCTGTTCACCCCTGTTTGTATGAGTGTTCTCTCACACTTTGTAGGGCACACCCACACCTCGTACAATACGTATGTGTTGCTCTAAGCCTTAATCCCCCACTTTCGACACAAAACTACCATACCCTAAAAAAAACCCCCCTATAATAATCATACCCGACAAAGAAGTAATTAAAGTCTAAAACTAGTCTAAAATATCTCATAGCGTGGTTTGGTGGGATATCTTGCCTGGGGTATATCCTTACTGCAATACTCGCTCACAACATAAATGTCTTGTCACATCTCAGCTGGTGGCCAAGTGCGACCAATACGTTGCCGGTGACGAGAAGGGTTTCAGGGCTGTGATCACCGCGGAGGCCAATGGTACGCAAGTCGATTGCCTTGTGTTTCGTTTTTGTCATGTCCAACCCGTACTTACAGTTCGCATATGTGTTCGTTAATAGTCCCTTTGGAGAGAGAGAGGGGGGGGGTGTTTGATCCTTGATGTCAGTATTTCCAGGATCCGCTTCCAGAATGTATCACAAAATATAGTGATAGTTTAACTATCTTCAACACCCAGGCGTAGCCCGGGGGCTGTTGTACATAACTTTCTGGATGGTGTTTTTGTTGTCCATTGCTGTCGTTTCTGCAGACCGTTTGACATTACGTCTGTACTCAGACCCGACATACGAACTAGTCCCAATGGTAGACTATCATTGGTCTGTTCTGTTTCGTCACGATATTTATAGTCTAAATACGAATATACTATCCACTGGCAAGAACATACATCCGCACAATACCCTTCTTACTTGTTTGTGAAACAGTGTGTGTACTGGCAGTCTTCTTGTTAACTGCTGCGGCGTCCGAAAAATACCAAAGTTGGCGATGTACGCAACACGAATACGGCCATATTGTTACGCCCATACCCGGCCGAACCTATACATTCACCGCTGTCTAGGATTCTCATTCGGGTCTTGATCTTGTCGTTTAATTCGCATTTCGGCAGAGCTGGCGGAGGTTCCCGGTGGTTCGGGTCTTGTGGAGCTCATCGGTCACATATACGTTCAAGAGGCCAAACAGCACCTCAAGCGATTCTTTGGGCTGGAGGGATTCTTCTCAGAATTGGGCGAGAAGAAGGTATGCATATGTGCTACTTATAGGAATGTAGCATACCACAAGACTTCTCAGCTGTATCTGTTAGCTCGTAGAAGTTACGCGTGCACAGTAGTGTTTGCTGGGTGACTATGCGGCCGTGTCGTTCCTATGACGTTCCTGCCGACTTGAACCGTTGGCCTGAAATATGAGTAGAAATTGCCCAGTATTTTCCGCTTGTAGGCAACCTGTTTGGCCCATGGACTGTCGAGACGAAGGTCCGGAGTGTGAGTGCCTTGGTGCGTGTTCTGTGTATGCCTGAGGAAAGTTATAGATTACACATCGATCGCATGCACGAATGTAGCTCGGATTCGGCTCCGATAGACTATGCCGCCTCATATCACTAGGAATATGTGCCTGTGTGTTGAATCTCTAGTTTGTTTTGGAGTCAATGTTGGAATATGCTCAACCACGTAGGCAACATAGGTGGGCCCACCGCATTGTATATACCAGCCAACACACCCTCTCCCAAAGAGACAGTACACTGACTGAATGCGTTCTAATCTGCGCACACACATGCACGCCCCTATAGAATACCATTGGCAACATACTCTCGCTGGCGACCGCTATGGCTGGAACACAGGCGGCGGCCACAAAGATGCAGGAGGACGAAACCAATTTAGCACACCAAGACCAGCTACAGAAACAGGCGGTCAATATGATCTGGAGGTATGTATACGGGACCTACTAGAGTGGTGAGTGTGGGCGTGGGTGTAGGGCGTATCGGTTGGTTCATGCTCTTCGTGTTGCTAGTAGCGAGATTTGGGTGTATGACCCGTGGGAACTCTGTGCCTCTATTGACAAAGGCAGCAGGCTAAGTATGTCTCGTAGAATGGAAAGGAGAGTTCATATGGTTTATCGTCTCGTAGTCGCGTACACCGTGTGTCACGCGCACTGGCCTTTGTGGGTTGTACATGTCAAGATGCCTCTGCCCTATCCATGTTCACCCCGAGTGCACTATAAACTGCGGTTGTGCCGCGCTATGGCTCTTGTGCAAGCCACATAATACCGAGCTGTTTTTTCAATATGGAGGTTTGCGTTCTGAGTTGTCTCTGTGATTTGCAATGCTGAGACAGTTTTGTCTTCGTTGATATGTTTGACACTCACTTTCAGTGTACATTAACGTACGCCAAGTGCCCGATTCGTCAGTCGGAATCAATCACTTAGCAGAGTTGTTGAGAGCGGTATGTTAGTCTCATGATACGCGCACAAACAGATGCAGTGACGCATGTCTATGACAACTGATGGTTACGATCTGTTTATTTCTTCTGTACAGACTGGGTAAATTTGAGATCAGCGGAACCTTGCGATCAATCTGCGAGAAAGCAATGACCGATAAAAGGTGTGTGTTGTTGCTGCGACTGCGGGGTCTATGGCTGAGTGGCAGATGTCTTGGCACGACTGTAGCGTGTGTACTATTGTATCCTTTGTGCCACCGGTTTGAACCTCGCGTGCGTTTGCTGCAGACCTATCAGGATCGTCCGGGTATCATAGCACATGAGCATTTCGGTACTAAATATCCAGTGCCACACCTCGTTGAGAACACACTTGTCCGGTTCATTCTGGGCACTTTCAGAGCTCCCTGTCCCACGCGTGCTGTTATCCTGTGGGGAACGGCTTGTTTGATCGGTTCGCGCATCACCAGCAAGCGGTACTAATGTAGCCCATATACTTTCTACATATATTAGTATACCCGAGGCCAAACAGAACAAAATCACACTGGGTATCGAACTGATCGGTGAGATATACGAACGCGTTGCCGCACAGACGAAGAGGGAAGAAAACGCCATCCTGGCTGCTATAGCCAACGGGACAATAGACAACCTGTTTATTCCGAAGTTCAGGCTTTATATCAAAACGGCTGAGAAAGAGGAAGTGTCGCTGAGAGAGGTGTGTGTGTGTGTTTGTTGATCGGATTAGAGTGTTCTCTGTCAATATACCTAGTAAGGGCTTTTTGATACCGTTGAATGTGTCTTGATGTCCGTTGAATTTGAAGTAGCTGAAGTTTGTTCGCGGCGTGTTGGAGAGGAGTGGCACCAGTGGAATTAAGGGTTAGAATCCGACTGCACTTGATTAGTGCGATACATGGTAGTGCAGTGCAGCACAGAATATTGACAGACTTCGGTCTGCCATCAGGGAACGTATTTCTGTGTATACAGATGCAAGAATGGTAATGTTTGTGGCCGCGTGTTGTTGTCCGTCTCTTTTTGAAGCAGTACGGTACATGTTCACCATAGGCGAGACAAGGCGGACTTCGATTTGCTATGTTTTGATCCTTTCGACTCGTCCTCTCTCGCGTCGGGCAGATTGACATGGAGAAGCCGGATGAGCTATTAGCGTCCTTCAAGAGGCTTCGGAACGTCACATTGGAGGTGCCAGCGGGCACTGAGGTTTTAAGATGGGAGCTGGGCCTCGTTGCGAGGAAAGACGTGTCGGTATGTGTTCTATCAAAACTGCACATTCGCCTCTGAAGAATCCATTGAGACATATAGTGTTTATTAATTCTCAGGTATAGCCAGCAAGCGGCCACTCGTATTCTGTGCACGTGTGGGCTACGGCTTCCTGTGAGGGACGCATATGATATGCTCCGTAGACAACGCTGATATGGTTACCTGATACGGTTCCAGTGTCCTCGCATCTCGTGCCACTAGCGTAAAACTTTAAATTTATACATGAATTGTATATATAACTCAATGGGTCGGCGCTTGTTGTCTAATGCGCTTAATCGCGAACACACAAACGCACACATCGTAAGGCGACGAGCTTACAGTCACAATAGAAGTCTTATTTCATGCATTGCTGGTTATACGGCCGCTTACTTCCAACGCGTGGCGTATTTATTGGATTGTTGGTATCCAGATACAACTTCAAAGTCGGTGTGTGAGGTTTCCAGATACAACTTATAAGTCGGTGTGTGAGGTATCCAGATACAACATATAAGTCAGTGTGTGGCTCTAATGCATATCTTTCTGCGCACCACAGCAAGCCGTGGTCAAAGTTCAGGTGCATCCTATAATGGACTCGTCGTGGTTATCAGAAGGGGTTGCCCGTACACCCCACGCATTTGTCGCCAGATTGCCGAAACTCGAAATGAAGGATGAGGTGCAGAGGGTCCCTGGTATCGTCTTTGACAGGAGACTGGTGAGTGTTTGTTTAGCGCGGATTTAATCGGGATACCTCGACGTTTGATTAATGCTAGCTCTGATATGCTCCCAGCCTGATATGGGACTGTTCATCGGCATGCTTTGAACAGCGAAGCGATTTGTTTGTAGATCTGCTATCACCACCGGTCCCTCGCGGATTTCTTACAGTGCACTATTCCGGATGTGTTGCACATACAGTACTTGTCTTGCCGGCACATAGGGCGTGTGTGTGGGTTTGGATTGTATATGTGGTTCTGGATTGTATGTATATGTAGAGCGAATGCGATATCCATTCAACGAGACTTGTATCACGCCGAGGTATATGGTGGCTTTAGCTTCGCCTCTTTTTTCTATAGCCTATTCGCATTTGGAATTGACATGTTTTGTTACTTGTTTGTATCAGCCAAACCGAACGGTCGATGCGGGACGAAATTACAGACTGGAAGTGACGGTACAAGTCGGCGAGCGCCGTGTGGAGAAGTTCGAATGCAAATTCATACTGAAGAAAGCAGAATCCATTGAAGGTGCCCCATCAAAGAAGCTTTGATAAATAAAGCAACTGCTTCATTATTGTCATTGTGATAAGGCTTTCTTACATTGTGCTGTAGCTCTGATGATGTTTGTCGTTAAGGAGCCATCAGTACCCTGTATTCCGGTTAATCGTGGCTTATAGTGCCTTGCAATTAGTGTATGCACGCGCATAGTAGAACTTGCACTCAGCAGCAAACTGTTAATTATTGGAAGCTGCATAAAGGGAAATGTTCGGCTAGTATTAGTTTGTAGGCAGCATCGCCTGTGAACATGTTTGTCGTGTGTATTAATGTGTAGACAAAAGCAAACCATAAGTGTTCATGATTTGTGGTTTTAAACAAGAATCTGCTATTGCCATGAATATCAATGCAGTCAGTAGCGGTCTGCATCAAGTAGTGGCATGTGAGTACCAGAACAATAGCATAGGTGTCAATTTACGGTTATCATTTACCTGAGATCAGTGGAGGGAGTCAATTTCCTAAGGCGTATATAAAATATCAGCTTATCATTCAAAGTATAATTCCAATGTTGCCGGTATTAAGTTGCTTCCTGCGCTCACTTTGACCAGCCACTGGCAGCATTCAGATATTTGATGATGGGTAGTGGGTAGGCAACAGTGATAAGCATCATTGCCCTACACGGCAGGACATGTTATTGGCAGCCCCTAAAGTCTAGCTGGCCGTCAGTAGTAGCAACTACCTTAGCACAGGTGTGATTGGTACGCAATTTTAACTTACAAATGACATTGATATTGATACGTCAGCGGTGCAGGTATACATCACCATTCACCCGTAAAACGTATTTAGCTGTAACTCAATAGAGTAATGAGCTGTGACGATAGTCCTCTGGGCTGGACTGACGATCAGAAATCTGAAAATCGTATTCGATTCCGCGTTTTAAGGTATCAAGTGGTTTAAAATGTATCACTTTCTGGAAATGTAGGTGACAAAGAAGACACTGGTGATAGACATCAAAGCCCTTTTAATACAGTGACATTCCCGGCATCGGTAGGTAGCTGTCCATGGCGATACTTAACAGTAAGTAGTGATCTGTGGGTAATTTCAACTTACAGTTGGTAGCGATATTTAGTCAGTGGTAATCAAACCCCACCGATGTATGACTCCTTAGGCGGGCATTCACAATTTACTTGCAGCTAGATATAATCGGAGTAGACACTTGTTGCCTAGACAGTCCGTTAAGGCGTAACTACACAGCGATCCTGAAAATCAGAAGCTCGCAGTCGATTCCGTGTAGTCACAAATCATCGTGCTTTTAAAACTTGAACGAATATGATTCGAGATCTGTTTTGGAGTGGTTTGTTAACATTCGCTTATGTTGATACAGAAATACTGTGAGTACATCGTATTATGTATACAGGAAACTCATCTAGTGCAGATACTACACATACGAGCGGCCAGCAAGAGTGATAACCCCAATATCATGTGCAATGCCGAACACTTGAACTGTCGAATGGGCTTGAATATGGTTTGAAATGGATTTAGCAAACGAATTAGAATCCAGACTGTGAAACTGAATGAGCGTGTTGAACATTGAACTATGTAAAGTAACGAGGTTTTTGTCTCAAACTCAAGTCGCTGTCTCACTGAACATATGAAGGAAGTACATAACTCTGAAGTCTGAACTCATTGATTGTTTACGATTACATTTGCCGGATTCAGATGGTGTATACCACACCAAAGAGAGAGAAAAGTCAACGGTGACGAGAAAGGTATGTAGAATATCCGGTATTTATATATATTTAAAAAAAACGATAAACGACAATACATAAGAGTCAATGACTCAATATGTATCGTATATACAGGATGTATATGTATTTGAAACAATGTATACATATTTATAAAGTATGTAAAGTACATGATACATTAACATAGCCATACTGCAATAACTGCATACAGAAATATCATTTACGAGTTGGACTCTGGAGTCGGGAGTCATTAGAGCCCAATTCCTGAGTCCTGACTCCTGACAGTTCTGACTTTGACACTTTGTGCCTCTCTAGTAGTAAATAGTATTATAGAAGAGAGAATCGTATGAAAAATGGCTATCATAGTTTCATGACATCATAAATACAATACCATTATATCACTATTTATATGTACTAAATCGCTCCTCACAGGCGGTTATTTCAATTTGTGGGTGTATTTATCCATGGAGCAGCAGTTTTTGATTTGATTTAAAAAAACCCCAGATCTGTCAGTTATTACTTTTCTTTTCTTTTTTAAAGAAAAACAATACACTGCTGTTGTAATAAATCATATAGCCAACAACTGAACACATAAATAGAGTGTAAATATGTTCTATTTTCAGAAGGCTATGAAATATTAGTGCATTTAATTTGGTATAATCGCCGGAGGGGTTTTTTGTTTATCGGATTGTGGCCATTGGACTGCACAATTGCACATGACGTATCACATTTCCCATAATTGCAAGAGACTCCTAAGTCCAGGACTCCAAGTCCAAGAACACATGCTGTATTTTTAAAAAACAAATCTGTTTAGCATCATTCCATTCGTTTAAAACTCGTATCGACTTTCGTCCACAACCTGTTATATTGACCATTCATACGGTTTATTTTAATAAGTGTGCTCTCGGTGTTAGTTTGTTATCTGTGGGCGGCTGTGGCTTTTGACTTTTCAAGTTTTCTGCAGTGATTCCTTTCTATTTTCTACAATCAAATCAATTTGCACACAAAGAGTAGACACTCGCGTGGCATAGCATTTAAAAAACCACAGTTGTGTTGCCTGTTAAAGTTGTCAAGACTCAAGAGTGTATAAATATACTGCAATTCATACTTGAGCACACATAATACAAAATATTTGCATACACAAACCAAGATCAAAAATACAATAGCTGAAATTGAATAGTCATGCCGAAGGAAAATGGAGCGATGATGCAACACTTCCACTGGTACTCTAAGGATGATGGCTCACTGTGGCGAACTGTCACCGAGGAAGCACCCAATCTGGCTGAAGCTGGGTTCACAGCTATATGGCTTCCGCCTAGTTACAAGGGTACCGGTGGTGGTCAAGATGTTGGATATGGCGTGTACGATATGTATGATCTCGGAGAATTCGACCAGAAGGGCAGCGTGCGAACGAAGTACGGAACCAAGGATGAGTACGTGAACGCTGTAAAAGCACTCCAGGATAATGGCATCCACGCATATGCTGACATTGTAATGAACCACAGAATGGGTGGCGACGAAGCCGAGCCAGCTAAGGCGATCCCACACTCAAAAAGCAATAGGTTACAGCCCAACGGTGAGCTCAAGGATGTATCCACATTCACGCATTTCAAATTCCCCGGTCGAAACGGTAAATACTCCAAATTCGAATGGCACTGGAATCATTTTAATGCCGTGGACTACGATGATAGCAATCCGGACGATCAAGATTCCATCTTCCTCTTCGAGGGGAAGAAATTTGACGAACAAGTCAGCAAGGAGAACGCGAATTTCGACTACTTGATGGGTTCTGATCTTGATTTCGACGTCGAAGAGGTGCGCAATGAGATGATTGAGTGGGGTCAGTGGTATATCGATACCACCAACATCGATGGGTTTCGTCTTGATGCTGTCAAGCACATCCCGGCCTGGTACATCCCTCAGTGGCTAGAGGCTATGAACAAGCACAAGAAAACAGATATGTTTGCGGTTGCTGAGTATTGGGAAAACGGACTTGACAACCTTAAGAAATATCTACATCATTCCAAGGGACAAGTATCGTTATTTGATGTACCTCTGCACTACAACTTCCGGACAGCCAGTATTAAAGGTGGTGGCTTTGATATGCGCAAGATATTCGACGGTACACTAGTACAGGATTGCCCTGATCTAGCCGTGACTTTCGTTGCGAACCATGACAGTCAAGCTCTTCAGGATTTGGAGAGTGTAGTTGAGTCTTGGTTCAAACCTATGGCATACGCCTTGATCCTTTTAAGGCAGCAAGGATACCCCTGCGTTTTTGAGGCTGACTACTACGGCGCCGAGTACACGGATGATGGAAAAGATGGCGAGCAGTACACGATCCACATGCCTAGTCACAGGTACCTCATTGACAAGTTCTTGTACGCCCGCAAACACTTCGCCTACGGTCAACAGAATGATTACTTCGATCATCAGGACTGTTTGGGATGGACCTGTCTGGGTGATGAGGGCCATGAAGGTACAATGGCCGTGATTCTGACTGACGCAGGAGAGGATTCCAAACACATGGAGACAGGAAAGCCAAACACATCGTATGTGGATATTACCGGGCACATCGAGGAATCTGTTACGACTGACGAGAATGGCTGGGCCGAGTTCAAGTGCGACGGTGGCAGTGTTAGTGTTTGGGTCGAGGCAGACAAAACTTCGTTATAGATTGTGTATAGTACATAAAAAGCATAAAAATAAATCAGTCGGTCTTAAAAAGCCGTTGTTTGTCACAATATTCATATGGTGTTTTAAAAAGTCTTTGTTTATCGCAATATTCATATAGCGTTTTGTAATTAAACGAAGGCGGTATAGCGATGGTAATCATCGACGATGCACTCCCATCAACATTGTCCACAACCAGGAAATGTAATTATATCGAGGGTTCAAAAGTGCATAGGGATAATCTTATTTATTTATTGTAAGATGGTAGTAACATTATTTTCGATGGTTCAAAAGTGCATAATATTTTCAAAAATGTCCATTAAAAATTTGAAAAGTAGTTCACACGTATGTAAGCTGCCAAGTGGAAAACATAGGACCAAATTGAAATCATTTGATCGACAAGATGCTTTTTATTCAAGAAGACATTTACTGATGGCGCGTGTATATGAATATGTAATTTTGAGTGAGCTGAGTAAAAAAAGCACACTTTCTTGTCCCGTATCCGACTGACCTAGATGCGCAACCGAGTCTGATAAGTCAGGGCTCCTTACGATTACTTGAAGCAGCCTTATAAAATTTTAGAGTGATCTTTATACACCAGACCGCATTGTTATCTCTCAAGGTCAGGTATTAATACTTCAAGGGACGAAGGTTGAAGACATGTCAATAGACCTCGAAAAGTGTTGGTGTTGGTTGGTAGCATAGTGGAGATGGGGGTAAAGTGTTAGCACATACTATTTTAGGTATCGGTGCAGCCTTGCATTTTTATCAAGTCCCAGCTGATACCGCCCCACAACCACCATGTGGACAGGTAAAAGGATAAGGGATACCCATCTTGATTAACCGCTACTCAACACTGCACCCTCGCAGATATACTCTCCAGTGATGTCTTGGGATAAGCTAACGGCGGGAAACGAATGTTTTGACCGGAGGTGTGTAATAGCTACCATATGCTATTAAGTGCGCACATCAGTCTTCCTACTTACTCGAGCGACCTACGAACATGTCATCCACCCTTTTCTCGCTCTTATTTTCGTATATATATATATATATACATACGTACGTATACATATATGTACACCGACATACAGACGCATGGCTGTGCTCATCACTAAAATCCAGACGACATTGAAGTCATAGCAATCAAAGGTATGTGACCTTATCTTAATCCATTCCAAACACCTCTTCACACTGCCAGTGCTCCAGAAATCCCAACTCTACACACCACACAAGTACTGAATGTCATCCTCGGTACCTACTATTGATGGAAACCAGCTCGTCCGTTCATGACTATCCGACGGAAACTATCGGGCATACTATTGACGTAATTGTACGGTACATAGATCATAATCGGTAGATTAAAGCACTCGTAAGCGTCCCAAGCCTCAGGGTTCGGCACCTCCGAAGGCATATCGCCACCTCTTACCCTGTGCCAAGGATTCGGTGACAGCAGATACAAGCGCGTAAGCTTTGGACAGTTGGCTATGAGCTTTTCGAACGGGGCCATAGGGTACAGTAGAGGGGGTGTTCGGCGGGGGTCTATGTTGGGGTCTAACGAGCATACCGTTAGGGTCTGCAAGTGGACGTTGTAAGGCTCGAACGGTAGTGCAAAGTTGAGATGAAGTGTACGCAAGCTCGTCATGTAACACACGCGCTGGAATATGGCATGCACGCACTGTTCGAAGAAACGGTCCTTGTACTTTTCGCCGTCCATTTCGGCCGCCACGGTCAGCGACGTTGTGTTTAAGGCCCATTTGGCAACCATTTCCTCAAAGTTCGGTGGGAAAGACTCGGGCAAGTTAACCATCAGCGTAGTAGCCGGTGTTTCCCAAGGCTTGTACTTAGACGGCACCGTCTGTGGAGACCCTTCGTTCTTTTTGGCCTCAATAAGCGCAACTTGGTTCTTGGGCTCGGGCATGCTCTCCAGCATCTCCTGTTCGCGATTAGCCTGCAGTGTGCGTGCAGTCGCCAGAGCAGCACTCTCTTGCTTGCTCAGCGCTTTCTTGATTGGTTTAATCAACGTCAGGGTTTTTGTCAGGTTATTTGGATTGGGTCTGCTCATGTCCACTGTTTTGGTACTAGCCTTGTCCAGTGCCTTTGTTTTGGTCTTCGTGACGCCATTCGGGGCGTCTTCAACGTTTGTGGGCTTGGGCGGCTTGGTCTCTGTATCCCATTTAATCGTCGTGTACACCTCGCCGTTGTCATGGTAACCAGCACGCTTCTCCCCCACCATCCTGCTGAAACTGCTGGGCATCTTGCCTATATATTCTTTGGGGACATATATCACCAGATCTTTAATAGTCGTAAACTGTGCGAAGGTGTCCCAGGCGGCTCTGTCCGGGTTCTTATCAGGTACTGTACCACCACGCACACGGTGCCAAGGATTAGGCGAAAGCAAGAATATTTTTTTAATGCAGGGCAGTATTGTTTCAGATCCACATACGGTTTTGAGGGGTACAGCACAGGGTTAGGTGACTTTGGATTAAGATTCGGGTCAAGCGACATGACTGTGAGAGTCTCTAGGGACTCGATGTTGGGCTCAAAGGGCAGAGCCGCATCTATGCGCAGATGTTTAAGATCCTTCATACCCCGCGCGTGTTGGTAGATGAAATGTATACACTCTTCATAGAACCGGTTTTTGTACTTCGACCCCGTCATATGAACGGCTATGGACAGCTTGGTTAGATTAGTGGGCCAACTGTCTACGACCTTTTCGAAATCGGGCGGGAATTCGCCCTTGTATAGCACACTCAAGGTGGTGGCGGGGTCCGCGGGGTCAGTTGTCGACATGCTTGCGACTTAAATAGCTTGTCACTTGGGTACGCTTATTGATAGCTGTCAAGGTAATACTTATCGCGCTTTTTTGTACTTCGGTTCTTGTTTTTATGTTACACAGTCTGTTAACTCGAACAAATAATATATAATATAATAAATACAATTCATGAAATACTGACAGTTTGTAACCGTCGGCCCGTCGGTACTCGGTACCTGTACTCTGACTCACTACTCTGACAGTCACTTGTGTGCTGGTAGAAAATAAGCCGGTTATTGAAATTCTAAAAATAGAAGTGAATATACCGGTCCTTTCAGATATCCAATATCGTCATAGATTTCGAAGCGGTGATTTGGCGCAAATTCACATATTCAGAGGGCGAGGCCACCAAAGCCCTCGGACGAGTGGAGCCTGTCAGCCCGGGCCCTGGAGGAGAGTGGAGAGTGGAGAGACTACATACTTAGTAGAGAGTGGTCAGTGGTTGAGACGAAACCTATTCGAGGCTATGTATTCAACTATAGTCAGCATTCAATTTGATTACATATAAATATATGTATTTATAATAATTTATAATGTTTGATAGTAGGCTATGTATATAATCGTATTATAGAATCAGACATACATACATAGCCTACTACTACAAGAATGGCATATCTGTGTTGTATTGTATTTTATAAAAATAAATGAAGGTAGTCAAATCGCGCTAAAAATATTACATGTCTGTACACCCTTTCCAACTGAACTCAAGGCAAGAGCTGAACACAGCCATATTGGTGGCACGAGTGTCGACAACAAGCGAGTATGAACGCCAACGGGAAATTTGGTTGTTGATCCAAAGTATGTGTACATAATTTTTGGCCATTGACTTGAGTATTTTAATGTTCGAACGCCACCTAACTCGTGTACCTTAATAAAGTCCAAGTGAATGGATTACAGTTATTACATACACGCACAAATATACGAACGCTGACATACACACATGCACACACACACAC